GGTTTGTGGGCTGCTTCTTCAGTATTGCGACCTGTTCTGGGTTCCAATAGTTTAGTGTTTACTTGCTCTCAGGTTGCGATTGCCACTGTCTAGGTCTGTATTTGTTGACTGTCTTGATTGCCCTTGAGGTGGTGATCATCTACCTTCGGCTGAGTGGCTTGCTAAGGGTGGGGGAGGTATGCATACAGTTGAGAGTCAGCCATTTTGCTGTGGGTCTGCTGCAGTCGTTGGTTGGACAGACTGGGTAAAGTCCCAAAATAGGGAGGTGATGGTCTACTGGTATTCTCACTGGACTGTTGTCCCAGAGACTCCCAGCCTCCCACCTAATGTTCTGGGGACCTGGGTTCGAATCCCACCATGGCAGTAGGTGGAATTTGAGGTCAATTTACAAAAAAAATCTGGAATTAAGACTGGAATGATGACCATGAATTGATTGTTGGAAAAACCCACCTAGTTCACTAATGTCCTTTAGAGAAGGAAACTGCCATCCTTACCTGGTCTGGCGTTCAAGGTGCATTGGATAATTATTTGGATAAAAATGTGCAAGAGTATGGGTGGGGGGTGGTATGGAGGCAGGAAACAGGAGATTGGCATGAAATAATTGTAAACCCAAAAAGTCAACTTTCCTGCTCCTCCAATGCTGCCTGACCTGCTGTGTCTCTCCAGCTCCACACCATGTTGACATGAGATAGTGATATTGGTTTGTAGACCTGATACAGGCTAAATGGCCAAAATGGCCAGCTTCTTACTCTGAGATGACACCATCTAGTCCTAAACTCTACCGCAAGGGGAAACAACCTCTCTGCACCTACCAGTTTCAAACCCCCTAACAATCTTGTATGTTTTAATAAGGTCACCTCTCATTCCTTTGTATTCCAATGGGTACAGGCTCCATCTGTTCAATCTGTTCTCATAGGACAGTCCCTCCATGCCAGGAATTGGTTTCTCTGGACTACTTCCGATGACAGATCTTTCTGTAGTTAAGGAGCCCGGAACTGTTCATACTGTCCTAGCTGTGGTCTTATAAATGTACTCCCTATTTTTGCACCCCATTCCATTTGTGATTAAAGCTGACATTGCCCTTGCCTTCCCTAATACCCACTTGACTTGAAGACCAATTCTTTGGTGATTAGGGCACTAACGATGGGTTTTGTTGTAATCCGGTAGGCTTATGATCCCTATTAACAATGCTAGTGTTTTATTCTAGCTTTATTCATTAGATTCAGTGGGATTTCAGCTCTTTTTACTGGATTGTTGTCTGTGGGATTCCGAACCCAGTGACAATACCACTACCCTCCTATTCCGCAGGTGCTGTCGCTACGGATTTTGACGGTGATGGAATGCTGGATCTCATCATTTCTCATGGGGAGTCCAGGGCTCAGCCCCTTTCTGTGTTTAAAGTAACCCAGGTATGTGTTTGGGCGGTGACTATTTACAGATCCCTACCCATGGCTATGGGCCAAGACTGCTGCAAAATGGGATTAGAATAGATGCATGTTTTTGATTGGCGCACACTCGATGGGCTGAAGGGACTTTTTTCTGTGCTGTAGACCTCGATGACCCACCCTTCACTACTTAACATGCCAGGCCAATCTCATTGCCCACCTCCTCCCATGACATGGAAAGACCCCTGGCTAAGACTGGCGCTGGAGTGGAGGAATATCGAGAGAGGCTGCTAGTTTCTTCGATCGCTGTAGGCCAGCCTCTTCCGACAAAAGTCCTGATCAGGTCTCTGGTGGAGGGCAGAGCTTTCTGAAGTTGGAACATGAGGCCAGTCCCCTTGGTTAGCTGTGATTCACCGCAGTGTCCATGCAGCTGGCCAGGCGAGTGATGAGGTTAGGATTGACATTGCTCCCAACCCTCCTAAACCCTTCCCTCACCTACCCACTCATTAACAAGGGAGCAGCGGAGGGATGTCTACTGCTGGGAATAACCCAGTATCTCCCCCTCTCCGCTGCCCGCCTATCATTCCTCTCCCTCTCTCAACAAAGCCAATAAATCCCTGGAAATCACAGAATTATGGAGTAGGAACCATTCAGGCACTGATTCCTGAGGTTTACCCCACTGGGGGAAAATGGTCATTGTCTGGGGTGGAAAGCCAACGGGCAAAGGTGGAGAAGATTGTCTATTTTGTGCCTTTGGTTACGGATCATGCTGGTAATAGCACTTTCAGTCTGAATCCATCCTCCACTCAGACCCATATTGAAATGGCTGCATTAGGTTAACAGAGAAAGTACAACAGAAACAGGCCATTCTGCCCACAGAGTCCATGTCAGTATCCATGACCCACTCAAGCATCCTACTTCCCCTCAGCTGAATCTACCACAGTGACCCTGTATTCCCTTCTCCCTCATATTCTTCTGCAGCTTCTCCTCAGATGTATCAACACCATTCTGTCCATTCTCCCTGTGCCAGTGAGCTCTGTCTGAGCAACAGCCAGATATGGAACCCAGCTTCATCTCCACAGTGACAGTGTGAATCCATGCGGAAGGTTTCTGAGCTGGATACACTGGGGGTCCAGGAAATTCCTGGCCTGACCCAGCTGCGCAAACAGGAGCTGGGCAGTTCACACCTCATTCGCACCCTTCATTGACTGAATGGAGCCAATGAGAAGGAGCTGTGCCCTTCCAAAATTGATCTCCTCCCATGATGTCCCATGTGGAGAATGGTGATTCAGGAGGGAGTCATTGCTGAATGTGTCGACGATGAAAGCATAGGAAGAGGCAATGCAAAGAGGCCCATTCATCAGCCAATCACAGATAGCCAGTCTGCTTTGGGTCAGTTGAAGGTTGCTGTAGGAACTCATTAGGGCATGTGGCTAGACTGGTCTAAAAATGTCTGAAAATTGGAAGCCAACCAGCCATAAGTCTAGTTAACACTTGAGTGGGTGACCGTTTGGGAACACTGGTTAGGTGTGGTACAGTGGTAGTGCCCCTACCTCAGGTCCACATCAGTTTCTGACAACATGTCCAGACAGAAAATACTGAAAGGATTAGTCCAGGAGGATCACTGATTGGTATCAAATTAAAGCGTGGAGGAGCTCAGTGTGTCACTGGTTTTGTTCTGGATTCTTTTCAAAGGGCTCTGACAACAATTGGCTGAGGGTCATTCCTCGGACCCGGTTTGGTGCATTTGCCCGTGGGGCAAAGGTGGTGCTGTACACACGGAGAACTGGACCTCACCTCCGCATTGTCGATGGAGGCTCTGGGTACCTCTGTGAAATGGAGCCAGTGGCACACTTTGGATTGGGTACGTAGTGTCTAAAGGCAGATGGTGTTGCCTTGAGTTGTTCAGTTGTTAAAGTCAGTGGGTTCCTGCTGGGTGGGGTGGGGCACTGAGGTATCAAAGTTGGGGTCTGCTGGAGTCCTCCAGAACACACTGTTGGCACTCCACAACTTCCTGTTGGCATGGTGTTCTGATCTTTAGCATCTTTCAAGGTTGGCATAGGTCAGTGAGACCACTAGTGGTGCCATTAATAAGTGGTGCTAGGTCTCAAACTGTAAGAGCTTTCACTTTTTAGGGTTCGGTTTGGATCCAAGGGGATTCAGAGACTGACACCATGAGGGAGGCAAAGGTTAAGGAGTGGGGCTATCTGTGTTGCTCATTGATGCAGACTTAACGGACCGGATATCTACCTTCTTTCATATTCAATACATCTTTTGTTTAAGTTCTTTCATCAGATGTGGTCATTTCTAGCTGGGTCAGCATTTATTACCCATCCCCAGTTGCTCTTGTGAAGGAGGTGGTGAGCTGCCTTCATGAACCACTGCAGGCCACATGCTATAGGTGGACCCACAAAGCCCTTAGGGAGGGGATTCCAGAATTTTGAATTCTGCCCCTGCTGCAGTAGGCACCATGGGGTGGCATGGTGGCTCAGTGGTTAGCACTGCTGCCTCACAGCACTAGGGGACCCAGGTTCGATTCCAGCCTCGGGTGACTGTCTGTGTTGCATTTGGACATTCTCCCTGTGTCTGTGTGTGTTTGCTCCAGAGTCCAAAGATGTGTAGGTTAGATGGATTGGCTGTGCTAAATTGTCCCATAGTGTGCAAGCTAGGTGGGTCAGCCATGGGAAATGCAGGGTTACAGGGATGTGGGTGGGGATTTAGGTCTGGGTGGGAATGTAGACTCAAGCTTGCATTGTCAAGAGTTTAGTGTGCCTTCTCTGTTCTTCCAGGTCATAAATGTCAAGGGTTTGGGACAAATTGTCAAGTAAATCTTCTCTTTAGCGCTTCATGTTTTCTGTAATTTTGTACAAACATCCTCATGGAAAATACCCACTTTTTCAGTGGAGAACAGTTTTTCACATTCCATGCTGCAAGGCTCAAGCTTTACTCCCTATTTGTAAATAATGTTACATTCTCCAGTAAGACACAGGTTGAATGTTTATTGCTCTGTTTTACATAGAGGAATCATCCATCTTATCCATAGAAGATGAATGAGATTGGGGGCAGCTAAAATTATTGATGTAAGTTTCATAAATCAATTTCACCCCCTCAGAAAAATCTGACAAGACCTTGTAAAAAGACAAAATTGAGGTATAAATTAATTTTATGAAGTACTAAATAACAGTAACAGACAGCCAGGCCTGTATTCTTTATTGCAGAAAATAAATGTGTGAAGTGCTGCTGAACATGGAGTAGGATTAGTCACTGCACCTAACGTAGGCCTCTGTGCATGCTTCTCTATATCTGGACTGTCTCTGCTTCAGAGGTTCTGCCTTCGTATTTTCTTGTGCACAGGATGCGAGTGTTGCTGGCTGGGTCAGCATTTATTGCCTGTCCCTAGTTCCCCTTGAGAAGGTGGTGGTGAGCTGCCTTCTTGAACTGCTGTAGTCCATGTGCTGTAGATAGACTCACAATGCCCTCAGAGAGGAAATTTTAGGCTTTTGACTCAGCGAAGATGAAGGATCAGCAATATATTTCCAAGTCAAGATGGTGAATGGCTTTGAGGGGAACCTGCAGGAGGTGGTATCCCCATGTATCTGCTGCCCTTGTCCTTCTAGATGAAAGCTGTTGTGGGTTTCGAAGGTGCTGTCTCAGGAATCTAGCAGAGATACCTAGGGATTCAGGCACATAATTCTTTGAAGTTTACATCACATACAGATAGGGTGGTAGAGAAGGCATTTAGCATGCTTGCCTTCATTGCTCAGAACTTTGCATATAAGAGTTGGGACGTTATGTTAAGGTTGTACAGGGTGTTGATGAGGCCTCTTCTGGAGTGCTGTGTCTCCCTGTTACAGGAAGGTTATTATTAAGCTAGAGAGTGTTCAGTAGAGATTTACCAGGATGTTGCCAGGAGTGGAGGGTTTGAGTTATAAGGAGAGGATAGATAGGTTGGGACTATTTTCACTGGAGCGTAGGAGGTTGAGAGGTGACTTTATAGAGGTTTATAAAATCATGATGGGTCTAGATAATGTGAATCCCTAGGGTGTGGGATTTCAAGACTAGGGGGCATATCTTTAAGGTGACAGGAGAACAATTATAAAAAAAAAGACATGAGGGGCAATTTTTTTAGGCAGAGAATGGTTCATGTGTGGGATGAACTTCCAGAGGAAGTGGTGGATGTGGATATAGTTGCAATGTTTAAAATACATTTGGATAAGTACATGAATAAGAAATGTTTGGAGGGCTATGGGCCAAGCACAGGCAGGTGGGACTAGTTTAGTTTGCAATTATGATTGACATGGACTGGTTAGACCCGAGGGTCTGTTTCCGTGCTGTATGAGTCTATCACTCTATGAATGGAACATAGGGACTTTTTTAAATTGTTCATGGTATATGGGTGTCACTGGCTGGGCCCAGCATTTATTACCTGGTTGCCCTTGAGAAGGTGGTGGTGAGCTGCCTTCTTGAACTGCTGCAGTCCATGTGCTGTAGGTTGACCCACAATGTCATTAGGGAGGGATTTTGACCCAGCGTCAGTGACGGAATGGCTGATATATTTCCACTCAAGGGATGGTGAGTGGTTTGGGGAGAACTTGCAGGGGTAGTGTTCCCATGTATCTGCTGCCCATGACCTCCTAGGTGTAAGTGATCATGGGTTTGGAAGGTGCTGTTGGAGGAACTTCTCTGAATTGTCCGTACCTCCTTGTTCTAAGCTCCAATGACCATGACCGGAAATCCCCTTCCTCCACCATCCTTCATGTGTCAAAATTAAGACTCTTCATTTGATTGTAAGATTCCAAAATCTCAGAAACCTTTGATTTCCTTAACTCTCTCAGTCCTTCTTTCACTCCACAGGTCTTGTAAATCCTCAAGCTTGCACTATCTAATTGTTCCTTAATTGGCTCAACCCAACAGTATGTTTCAATTCTTTTTAGCAGTTGGTAACAATCTCTTGCTAATGTGCTAGAAGATTAAGGATCCAAACTTCATTTCAGGTCTTGAACAAGGCCACTATAGGCTGATCCTTCAAAGGAAATTGACCAACAAGTGAGTCAAAGGTTATCGGAGGGCAGACAGCAGTGTGGAATGTGGCCACAATCAGATCAGACTTGATCTTATTGAATGGTGGAGCAGCCTTGAAGGGATGATGAATTCAGAATCTGACTAAAAAAAAAGAACTGAGGAGATAGTAAGAACTGCCGATGCTGGAGTCAGAGATACCACAGTGTGGAGCTGGAGGAATGCAGCAGGCCAGGCAGCATCAGAGGAGCAGGAAAGTTGACGTTTTGGGTCAGGACCCTTCTTCTGAAAATGGCTTTAGAAAAAACTGCGGATGCTGTTAATCGGGAAAAAAAACAGAAGTTGCTGGAAAAACTCAGCAGGTCAGGCAGCATCTGTGAAGAAAAATCAGAATTCTCTCCCTTTGGGCCCTATCCCCACCTATTGTTTACTGATCACCCCTATCTTCTGCATATATGCCAACATTTTCCTGGCTACTATCAGATCTGAGGAAGGGTCACCAGACCTGAAATGTTAACTCTGATTTTTCTTCACAGATGCTGCCAGACCTGCTGAGCTTTTCCAGCAACTTCTGTTTTTGTTCAGAATCTGACTTTGCAGTTTGAGAATTTGCATACAATGAAATATTGTAGCTATAAAAGACTGATGTTAGTAATGTGATTGTCAATTTGTCAGATAATCATTATAACCCAATCAGTTTAATAAAGTGCTTTAAGTTAGGAAAACTGCCATCCTTACCAGTCTGGCCTACGCCTGACTCCAATCCCAGATGGATTCATTGGCCTTGCAATTGCATTAATAACTGTTAGAAATGTTAAGAGTCATGGAATCTTACAGCTCAGAGTGCCATTCAGTCCACTGTGCCAAGTTATCAAGAGTCATAGAGATCTACAGCACAGATAAAGGCCATTCAGCCCATCGAGTTTTTGCTGATCAAAAAAACCCATCTAATTATTCTCATCCCATTTTCTGGCTCTTGGCCCATAGCCTTGAATGTCTTGGCAGCACATGTGCACAACTAAATACTTCTAAAATGTTACATAGGTTTCTGCCTCTACCATCCTTAAGGCAGTGAGTTCCAGATTCCTATCACCCTCACGTCCCCACTGCTCCTTATCTTAAAGACCATCACTTTGAAAGTACCTTCCAAACCCACAATCTCTAGATGGACCAGGGAAACAGCTGATTGAGTACACTTCCACCTACACGTCCCCTCCATGTCGGTCCCCCATGCTGACTTGGAACTATATCATTGCTCCTTCACTAATCGCCACTTGTCTGGATGGAGACAGATGCAACAACACTCAAGAAGCTTGATACCATCCAGAACAAAACAGCCCTCTTGATTCGCATCCCATCCACCATCGTAAACATTCTCTCCCTTTGACACTGACGCTCAGGAACAGCTGTGTACCATCTACAAAATGCAGGACACACCTTCCAAACCTGTGACCTCTACCAGCTAAAAAGGTGAAGGCAGCAGAGACATGGGAACTCTACCAAGTTCCCCTCCAAGCCACTCACCATCCTGACTTGGAAATATATCAGCATTCCCTTCACTGTCGCTGGGTCAAAATCCTGGAATTCCCACCCCAACAGCATTGTGTGTGTCCCTAACCAAATAGACAGCAGCGGTTCAAGAAGGCAGCGCACCAGCACCTCCTCAAGGCCAAGCAGGGATAGGCAAGCAACCAGCAATGCCCATATCCCAAACCAAATATTTAGAAGCAAAAATAATTGCCAGCTATGCCAATGATGCCAGCAGGCAGAGAATGAACAATTATAATCTCAGGTTGCTCTTTTAAGAGTTAGTCATTTGATGAGAGTGTTTTTCTTCCTGCACTGAAACAGCGCAGGACTAGACTGTCTATCCCGACTGAAAAACCAGTCAAGGGAAACAAATGCATTTTCTGACCTTCCATGCAGCATTTTAATAAAGGTGAGATTCCTAATTTTTGCCCTTCAAAAATATCTCACAAAACATCTGGGCTCGGAAAGGTTATTTTAATCAACGATGAGGTATTTCAAAGCTTGTTTGTGCACAGTGTGGACTTTAATCTGAACACACAAAAGCCATTTTCCACATGAATTAATCTGTAATGTTATGAGTTTAAGGAAGCCTTGTGATCATTTCGGGAGATTGGGATGTTCTGCCTGCTGTTGCATGCACGTTGCTGCCGTGAGTCAGTCAGAGGTGCGGGTGAACAGAGTGGAAGGGGGTGGGGAGGTCTGGCTTAGTGTGACAGGAGGACAACAGGCTCGTGCAAAGCCTTTGCAAACTGGGTCTCGCTTGGATAGATGGCGAGGGTGGGGAATGTAAATAGCGTCAGCAAAACAACATCTGGCTGTTGCCACTGAGCCGTGCAGCTCCAGGGAGACTTGGAGCTGTCAAATGTTAGCAAGGAAGTGATACGCTCCAAACCAAACAAGGCAAGCTATTGTTGGATGGAGAGGGAATGAGGTGAAGAGCCTGATCCGGAGTGTCTGTGCTCAATTGGGTATAAAGACCTTTCCTACTGGCACTCAGATGTTGGGAATTGGGCATCTGTTGGATGCCTTCCCCCCAATCTTATTGACATTATGTTAAAGCTGACATTCTTCCCCAAAAATAATTACCCTGTCCAAGAAATTCTGCTTCTTTAGGTTGACCTGTATCCTTGCATCTTTAGTTATGATTTTAACTATGCTTATCTCATTCAGGTTAAGCAACAGGTGACCCAGTGACTAGCACTGCTACCTCGCAGCGCCAGGGACCTGGGTTCAATTCCACCCTCAGGCAATTGTTTGTGTGGAGTTTGCACACAGATAGTCCAGGTGCTCTGGTTTCCTCCCCCAGTCCAAAGGTGTGCAGGCGGTGGATTAGCCACGGGAAATGCAGGGTGACAAGGGTGGGGTGGGAGGGTCAGGTTGGGCTGACTGGCCTGCTTCCACACTGTGTAGGGGTTCTATGAACACCTTGATTCTAACATTCAGGTTCCTCTGTGGCCTCACCCTTTATGATCGCTGTAATCTCCATCAGTCCATAACCCACCATGATCCCTACCCTCCACCAATTCCAGCCTCCTGTGTATCTCTGATTTTCGTCTCCCCGTCATTGGTAGCCGTGTCTGGGCCCTAAACTCAGGAATTCCCTTTCTAAATCTCTCTCTCTGTCCTTCTCTAAGACACTCCTTAAAATCAATGTCTTTGACTGAGCTCTTGATGATCTTCCCTAATAATTTCTCCTTCCATGACTCAATGTCACATTTGTCTAATGATTCATCCCAACAAATGTATTTGCTTCATGATGTTAGCAGCGCTGTAAACAGAAGCTGGTTTTTAGATATTGTCTAATTAACCTTTTCAGAGATGTTATTACACACCTCTGGACCAGGCAGGCTTCCGATTCCGAGGTAGGGACACTACCACTGCACCACAAGAGGGCCCCAGCCCTCTCTTCATAAAATCTTAATGATGATAGTAAACACGAGAATGGTTTGTCCCCTCTCTGCCAGTAATTAATCAAAAATCAGTATTTAAGGACTGAACAAGCACCTTCACAACAGTGTATGAATTGAAAATGCACAGCTGTCACTTTTAAAAAGGCAGTGGCGAGTCTGAACGTATGGCTTTTGTTGTGTCTGCACAAATTATCCCACTGTCGTAGTAGTTTTGAAGCTGGCTGTGTGCTTAACAGGCACAGGGTAACTCCACACCTGTATACAAGCCCTGTCCAACTTTGTGGCTCTGATCCCTTCAGGTTTATGTTCTGGAGAATTCGAAACGGTCAGTCTGAAAGTTAGGGCATGGGTACAATCTGCACTTACGTCTCCAATTCCAACAGGTAAGGACATTGCGACTCACCTGGAGGTGACCTGGCCTGGTGGGACATTCACCTCTCGTGCTATTGCCCCAGCTGAAATGAACTCCACGATGGAAATCCCATTCCCTGACCAGGACAGTCAGACCTTAAATCTGGAAATCGAGGTACATGAAGATTTCGAATGTCTGTGATCTACTTTAACTCTTTTTCTGTCTCTTTGCTGCCTTGCTCGGTGTGTGTTTCCATTTCACTCAATTTCTATAAAGTCATAGAGATGTACAGCATGGAAACAAACCCTTTGGTCCAATTTGTCCATGCCGACCAGATACCCTAAATTAATCTAGTCCCATTTTGCCAGCATTTGGCCCATATCGCTCTAAACCCTTCTTTTTCATGTATCCATCCAGATGCCTTTTAAATGTTGTAATTGTACCAGCCTCTACCACTTCCTCTGGCAGCTCATCCATACACACACCACCCTCTATGTGAAAATGTTGCCTCTTAGGTCCCTTTTAAATCTTTCCCCTTTCATCTTAAACCTAAGCCCTCAAGTTCTGGACTTCCCCACCCCTGGGGAAAAGACCTTGGCTAATCACCCTATCCGTGCCCCTCATGATTTTACAAACCTTGATAAGGTCACCCCTCAGCCTCCGATACTGCAGGGAAAATAGCCCCAGCATATTCAGCCTCTCCCTATAGGTCAAAACCTCCAACCCTGACAACATCCTTGTAAACCTTTTCTGAACCCTGTTGAGTTTCACAACATTCTTCCTATAGTAGGGAGACCAGAATTGAGCACAGTATTCAAATAGTGGTCTAACCAATGTCCTGTACAGCCACAACATGACCTCCCAACTCATACTCAATGCACTGACCAATAAAGGCAAGCATGCCAAACGCCTTCTTCACTATTCTAACTACTTGCCACACTATTTTCAAGGAACCATGAACCCGCGCTCCAAGGTCTCTTTGTTCAGTAACAGTCCCCAGGACCTTACCATTAAGTGTATAAGTCCTGCCCATATTTGCCTTTCCAAAATGCAGCACCTCACATTTATCTAAATTAAACTCCATTTGCCACTCCTCAGCCCATTGACCCTTCTGATCAAAATCCCATTGTACTCTGAGATAACCTTCTTTGATGTCCACTACACCTCCAATTTTGGTGTCATCTGCAAACTTACTAACCATACCTCCTATGTTCACATCGAAATCATTTATATAAATGACAAAAAGCAGTAGACCCAGTACTGATCCTTGTGGCACATCACTGGTCACAGGCCTCTAATCTGAAAAGCAACTTTCGGTCTCCTATCTTTGAGCCAGTTCTGTATCAAAATAGCTCGTTCTCCCTGTATTCCATGTGACCTAACCTTGTGAACTAGTTTACCATGAGGAACCTTGTCAAATGCATTACTGAAGTCCATAAAAATCATGTCTCCACCGCTCTGCCCTCATCAAACCTCTTTGTTACTCCTTCAGAAAACTCAATCAAGTTAGTGAGACATGATTTCCCACGCACAAAACCCTGTTGACTCTGCCTAATCAGTCTTTGCCTTTCCAAATACATGTAAATCCTGTCCCTCAGGAGCCCTTCCAACAACTTATCCAACATCAATGTCTGGCTCACCGGTCTATAGTTCTCTGGCTTTTCCTTGCCACCTTTCTTAAATAGTGGCACTAGATTGACCAACCTCCAGCCTTCTGGCACCTCACCTGTGGCTATCGATGATACAAATATCTCAGCAAGGGGCCCAGCAATCTCTTCCCCAGTTTCGCACAAAGTTCTAGGGTACAGCTGATCAGGTCCTGGGGATTTATCCACCTTTATGCGTTTTAAGACATCGAGCACCTCCTCTTCTGTAATATGGACATTCTCTCCTTCTGGTCCGTTTCATTTCTACCCTGTCTGTCCCTGAGTATTTCTCCATATCTCTACTCTTCCAGTTTGTATCTGTGTATCCTTCCCTCTTTAGTTTACTGCATTCCTATTCCTGTGCTCACTTTTAAAACATAGAATATAGAACAGTACAGCACAGTTTTGAAAGGTATTATGTAGGATATGGGATCGGTCAGATGTCTCCACCAGAAAATCTCTCAACCTCCATCAGAAGTCTCTGCACAACTTCATCAAAGATGTTGGCTCTCCATTTCCACAGTTGGCCCAAGATTTTTGACATTTTGGAAACCTTGAATGTTAGTGCTAGCAAAGATTTTTTTTTTCCTTTTTGTGATGGCAATTATCAAGGAACAGGGTAAAATTCATCCCTTGGTTTTGGTCAATTACATCCAATACAGACAAGTGCCATTGAGTGCCCCGATAGCCCAAATTGTCCCTTCTGAATGTTCTGGTCCTGATCGTTCCTGTTGGTTGATCGTTTCCAGGGATTTGACTGGGACTAACCAACACCTTTCACCGAATGTGTCCAATCAGCAGCAGGACTCTCTTTAATCTCTGCTCCTGGGATCAGCCAGATCTTCTGTGCTTTACACCAGATTTAGGCATCTGTGGAGACAAGGATATCTGTGAAAAGGGACAGTCAACACAATCCTTTCGGCTCACCCCAGGGGAAGCTGAATGACAGCAGCCTGTCCCATCCCCTGCAGTGTGGTTACCCCCTGCTCGCCTTCTCCACAAGACCTGCCTCTCACCCTCTCCTCCAACAGGTTCACACCACCCCCCCACCCCCTACCACCCTCCCCACAGGATGTGTTTAGACCCCCTCTCACCTCCCCTCATGCCATTGTTAAATGCAGCATAAAAGCAGTGGCTACTCATTGTGAAATCCAGCACACCTTAGACCTCAGTCCTGCTGCTTCTCATACACAGTCAGGAACCAGGAAATTTATGTTGCTCACTCTCAGAGAACTTAATCGAGAAATGGAACTTAATTGTGGTCAGCTGGTCCTTTAAGGAGCATGTGATAAGATGCAAGCATCAGGAAGCTCGAACTCTGAAGGTGAGAGAAGTTAATTGCAAACTTCCATCTCGCAACACTTCCCATAACCTCTTGGTGAAGTCCCTAGAGAGGGGCGCAATTGTATTCAAACCAATAACAGTGGCTCAAGAGAAATACCCATCACCACCTTCTCAGGGCAACTAGGTGGCCAATAATGGTCAGCCTTGACAGGGATTGAGAATAAATATATTGAAATGTTAGATAAATACTTTAAACATTTTTTTTCAGTATTATTTGCCCCATTTACTTCTTGTATTGCTGATGGTAAATCTGTCTGAAGTAGTTGTTTGTTTTACGGTTGTAAACCTTTTAAAAAACATTCTTTAAATCCTTGCTCTTCATCATTCATTGTTCGACAGATAGGGCAAATAGGAACTGACCAAGACCACATGGAGGACCAGCTTTGAGTCCCAACATTTTGGCTTCATCACTCCATCATTTCCCCTTCCTCACTGTGATTAGGGCAAGATGGCCATTAGTAAAGTAAGTGTAGTCCCCAAAGACTGCTCTCTTATGAGAGAGAGATGATCGGTGGTGGGCCACTGTGCCCCAGGCAAAGGGGAGAGGTTTAGAAAGCACAACTTCCATTGGTAACCTCAGCTGGTAGCAGGAATTGAACCTACACTGCTGCTGTTACTCTGCATCACAAACCAGCCATACAACTAATTGACCTATTTGCCTTTAACTCCCCCAACACCAGCACAACCAAGTTAGGGAACTTCAGAATCCAACCTCCTACCTCTGTGTCACACTGTTGGCCAGAATGATGAGTTAAGCCCACTAATTAACTACAGCAACTGCATAATGTGACTAAGTTCTGTATCTTTTCCATGCAGTGTGGGGAAGGCTTCACAGTTGACAGGAGTGGTCGCTGCACAGGTGAGTTGGTCTTCTGACTTCTTCTGTAATACTGTGTCAGCCCTTAGAAGCACATAGTCCTGTTTGTGGAGACCATTAGCAGCACTTTGTTGCACATTCCAAAACATCAAAAGCCCTGGAACAGCGCGATTAGTAAGCTCTGGTCCAGCGTGTAGGCTGTGAGCCTCAGACTGGCGTGTGGGCTGCGAGCCCCGAAACAGCATGGGCTGTGAGCCCTGGTACAGCACAGGGAAGCAGTCCTGGAGCAGTGTGCGGGCAGCGAGTGCCAGGCAGAGACTGGCGCAGGGGAAGCAGTCCTGGAATTTACCTTGGAGCAGCTACGTGCCGGTATGGAGCGGACTGGGGCTTGGAGTGGAGCGAGGGCAGCTGTTGGATTGGGGCCTAGTGCGGGCAGTCAGACCACATGAGGAGGCCCTGCACTGAGCTGTTACACTGTAATGTCTCTTTGAAATTTCCTACCCTACTGTAATGTCAACCCTTTAATGACATCCTATTTTTAACTTATTTTTCAACTTTGTAAGTAACTTTTATTCCTCTGCTGTATCCAAGAATTGTACCCAGATACTTGTACCTAAGATGTTGCCATAACAAGGCAGACATTGTAAAAGTTTTCTACGGTGCTTCTAAAGGGATATTCTATTCTAAGTCCATTGCTCAGGCCTGAAAGAAATGGGATGCCTGTGTATGTTCAGAGTTTTACATGGCTGTACGAATTAGAAGCGGGGGAGCTGTTTAAGAGATAGGTCCACAGTTTTCAACACTTGTACATAATCAGTGCAAATAGCATCTAATAATTGAGTTTTTTGAGAATGTTAATTACATGGTTTACAACAGTAGCAGTTTTTAACCAGATGAAATTTGACATGGAATTTGGTCAAATCATGCCGTTTCGGTTGATTCTTTAAAAAAATGTGCCAAGCGATATTATTCCCTCACCTCAACTCATCCTCCAGCATATCATCACCAGTGCATGACCATCTTTAGAGTGTAGAGAATGGGAATGTAGTAAAGGGGGGTAATTTGGACTGCACGTGCCCAGTGTTGGTGCATAGTAATGGCCTCACACTGGAGTTGGCTAATTGTTATCTTCAACAGTGACACTGTGTCATTTTGAAAAGGCTCGCCTACTGGATATTCAGATGTCAAAACACAGAAACGTAGAAAATAGGAGCAGGAATAGGCCATTCGGCTCTTTCAACCTGCTCCACCATTTATTATGATCATGGATGATCATTCAACTCAATAGCTGTTCCTTTTTTCCCCAATATCCTTTAGCCCCAAGTGCTATATCCAACTCCTTCTTGAAATCACTCAGTGTTTTGGCCTTGACTGCTTTCAATGGTATTGAATTCCACAGACTTATCACTGAATGGGTGAAGAAATTTCTCCTCACCTCAGCCATAAATGGCCTACCCCATAATCCTTAGACTGTGTCCCCTGGTTCTGGACTCTGCCCACCCCCAGACATCAGGAACGTCCTACCCTGACTCTTTCTGTTAGAATTTTATACATTTCAATGAAATTCCTCCCCCCTCCCCCTTATTCTTGCCCTCCCTCCCTCCCTGATTACCAGTTTCAGTCAGGGGCTATGCAGATACGTGAGCAATGGAATTGAAGACAGCCTGACAAAGGGAAGTATCACAGAGTTTCCTGTGGAACGTGGAAGGATAGAAGTGGTTCTCTGGGCTGATAGCCCAGGTCACTGTTGTTGTGGAAACCCCTTTTCTTTACAGTCACTCATGGGATGTAGGCATTTATTGCCCTTTCCTAGTCGCCCTTGAGAAGGTGGTGGTGAGCTGCCTTCTTGAACCACTGCAGTCCATGTGCTATTGGTGGACCCACAATGCCCTTAGGGAGGGAATTCCAGGATTTCCCTGATGAGTCTTCCACACAATTACCTTGAAAGTTACTTGTTGGAACAAGATTAACAAGCTCAGTGCCTATTTTCTATGCTTCAGCTGCAAAGATCTGACCTGATTCAGGGCTGGTGAAGTCATGTAGGCCTCACTTTATTACAGGAGGAGTGAATGGTGGGAAGTGCAGTCCAGTCAGGTGGGGCAATGTGGAGATCTTGCCTCTGTTAATGGCGGGTGCTCATTTGAAATATAAATTCCCAGAATCCCACCAGAATTGATCCAGAACCTAAGGATCAAGTGGGATTGGAAATTTGGCTTTCCTTAACCTCCTGGTCACGACAAGGCCCAAATAAATGGCAAATCTCTTGATGAAGGAGCAGTGTTCCAAAACCTTGTGGTTTCAAACAAACCTGTTGGACTATAATCTGGTGTTGTGTGACTTCTGACTTTCCCCAAATTGAATGAAAGGAATAAGCGTTAACAGTAAAAACAAGTGATGTTAAAAGACAGGAAACGACACCCTCCCCCCTCCCCACCAAAACCCCACAAGCTTAGTCCTCCTGGTTTTCCAGTTACAATGCGAAATGCTTTTCCATGGCTCTTGCACTTCAATCAAACATGTTTCAAGTTGTTTCTTCTTGTATTCTGCAGTGTTTGACCATTGCTATTTTACATACTTTCTCTCTAATTGTTCAGATGCTGATGAATGTGTGCAGTTTCCACTAATGTGCCCCAGGGAAAGGCCCATCTGTATCAACACTTACGGAGGCTACAAGTGTCGGCCGAACAGGAGATGCAGTCATGGTTATGAACCCAATGAAGATGGAACAGCTTGTGTGGGTCAGTGATCTGCCCCTGGCTAAATAGTCTTTTAACTCTTTAGCAATTCCATTTATTCAATGTTAAGCACTTCAGTGTAACTGAGCTGAATTTCAATCTTGTATCAATGTGTATCTTATGCAATTATTCATTAAAAAGAATGCTCTGTTCATCTGCTAAAGGAGAAAGGCCTTCATTCTCAGGACTGGCAACTTTACAGATATTTGTACGTCGATCGGAGACAGACATTAATGAAATATTCTACACTGGGAGACTCTTTTGGACACTGAAGGGATTGGAGATTACCTTCATCAACTCGCTGTTTTTTTTTACCAACTTAATCAGCCAATATCTATCTGCTCTCCAGTTTGCTATCTTTCTAACTCACCCACCACAGTTTAGCCTGACTCGCTCCTGTTTTCTTCTCCGAAGAATGTAACTTGTAGAAAAACCAGAAGGCCATTCAGCGGTTCAGAAAAGATTTACAAGGCTGTTGCTGGGACTGGAAGGCTTGAGCTATAAGCAGAGGCTGAATAGGCTGGGGTTATTTTCCCTGGAGTGTCGCAGGCTGAGGAGTGACATTATTAAAGGTTTATAAAATCATGAGGGGCATGGATAGGATGAATAGCCAAGGTCTTTTCCCCAGGGGAGGGGAATCCAAAACTAGAGGGCTTAGGTTTAAGGTGAGAGGGGAAAAATTTAAAAGGGACCTGAAGGAAAACTTTTACATGCAAAGGGTGATTTGTGTACGGAATGAACTGCCAGAAGAAGTGGTGGAATGTAGAACATAGAACATAGAACATTACAGCACAGTACAGGCCCTTCGGCCCTCGATGTTGCGCCGACCTGTGAAACCAATCTGAAGCCCATCTAACCTACACTATTCCATTATCATCCATATGTTTATCCAATGACCATTTAAATGCCCTTAAAGTTGGCGAGTCTACTTCTTTTGCAGGCAGGGCATTCCACGCCCTTACTACTCTCTGAGTAAAGAACCTACCTCTGACATCTGTCCTATATCTATCATCCTTCAATTTAAAGCTATGTCCCCTTGTGCTAGCCATCACCATCCGAGGAAAAAGGCTCCCACTGTCCACCCTATCTAATCCTCTGATCATCTTGTATGTCTCTATTAAGTCACCTCTTAACCTTCTTCTCTCTAACGAAAACAGCCTCAAGTCCCTCAGCCTTTCCTCATAAGACCTTCCCTCCATACCAGGCAACATCCTGGTAAATCTCCTCTGCACCCTTTCCAATGCTTCCACATCCTTCCTATAATGCGGTGACCAGAACTGTACGCAATACTCCAAGTGCGGCCGCACCAGAGTTTTGTACAGCTGCAACATGACCTCATGGCTCCACAACTCAATCCCTCTACCAATAAAACCTAACACACCATACGCCTTCTTAACAACCCTATCAACCTGGGTGGCAACTTTCAGTGATCTATGCACATGGACACCGAGATCTCTCTGCTCATCCACACTACCAAGAATCTTACCATTAGCCCAGTACTCTGTATTCCTGTTACTCCTTCCAAAGTGAATCACCTCACGCTTTTCCGCATTAAACTCCATTTGCCACCTCTCAGCCCAGCTCAGCAGCTTATCTATGTCCCTCTGTAACCTGCAACATCCGTCCGAACTATCCACAACTCCACCGACTTTGGTGTCATCCGCAAATTTACTAACCCATCCTTCTAAGCCCTCATCCAGGTCATTTATAAAAATGACAAACAGCAGTGGCCCCAAAACAGATCCTTGAGGTACACCACTAGTAACTGAACTCCAGGATGAACATTTCCCATCAACCACCACCCTCTGTCTTCTTACAGTTAGCCAATTTCTGATCCAAACCGCTAAATCACCCTCAATCCCATGCCTCCATATTTTCTGCAATAGCCTACCATGGGGAACCTTATCAAACGCTTTGTACACCACATGTACACCACATCAACCGCTTTACCCTCATCCGCCTGTTTGGTCACCTTCTCAAAGAACTCAATAAGGTTTGTGAGGCACGACCTACCCTTCACAAAACCGTGTACAATTACAAGATTTAAAAGGTATCTAGATAGGTATATGTATAGGAAATGTTTAGAGGGATATAGGCCAAATGCTAGCAAATGGGACTAGATTAATTTAGGGTATCTGGTCGGCATGGACGATTTGGACCGAAGGGTCTGTTTCTGTGCTGTACAACTCTATGACTGCATGACTGTTCTGCCATTCAGTAAGATCATGGCTGATTTTCTAACCAAACATAGCTTTCCTGTTCTAAAAAGTAAAGTCGCCATAGTTCTGTTCTCTCATTAGAGGGAGATGATTGGTGGTGGCTTAACTGGAGGGTCACTATGCCTCAGGCGAGGGGAAGAGGTTGAGAAGGAGAGTCCTTTATGGTAACCTCAGCCAGTGATGGGAATTGATCCCACGATGTTGGTGTCATGCTACGTTGCAAACCCACTAATTAGAATTAGGTTTATTGTCATGTGTACTCAAGTTACATAAAAACAGTGAAAAGTGTACAATGTCACCAACACACAGCGCGATCTTAGGTACAAAGTACCTAGGTACAAGCCTGAGGTACAAAAATCGAACAAAAAAAGGAGGAAACTTTTAATACATTACAGACATCCATAGTATAAGTTAACAAAATAAGAAATAAAGCTAAAATGATAGACATTACAGTCTTTCTATAAGGGATTCCACGTGGTCTGACCAGGCTCCACCGATTCCCAACCAGTAGCCATCCATCTTCACTCTGGGTCCCCATGGCTGCCATCCCCATTTCAGGTCGCTGTACCCCCCTACCCCTGCTCTGCTCCAGGCTGCTGGCTGTCCCCAGTTCCCTCTGGGCCCACTGGCCACCCCTGCTCTGCTCCAGGCCGCTGGCTATCCCCAGTTCCCTCTGGGCCCACTGGGCACCATCCCCACCCCAGGCCGCTGGCTGTCCCCAGTTCCCTCTGGGCCCACT